TAGCCTCCACTTGTGCTTTTACTTGAGCTTCAGCTTCGGGATCAGCATGAACCTGAGCATCGGCCTGTGCTTGAGCCTGGGCAACAACAACGGCGGCAGCATATTTAGCAGCTTCAACCTGAGCTTGTACCTGAGCTTTTACTTGAGCTGCTTGAACTTGGGCTTCTTGAACCTGAGCTTCTGCCTGATACTGAGCAGCAACGACAGCGGCTGCAGCTTGGGCTTGTACTTTAGCAACAGCATTTTGAGGATCAGAATGAACTTGAGCCTGAACCGCGACTTTATTATTAATGATCATTTGATCAATCATTTGATTTTGTTGTTGAATGTCTAAATGTTGTTGATGATCTTGTTGTTGCTGCTGCTGCTGCTGTTGATGATGTATGCCAGTAGTAGATATTTCATTTTGCCTGTTAGCATGTTCTATCATAACCTGACTTATTATAGCTTGTACAGAAGATTCTTCATTATTTGACAATATAACCTGATTTTGATTTGAAGCAGGAACAGATGAAAGCGTCAATTGATTCTGTTGATCAGTTTGAGAGACTAGAGCTTGATGTTGTTCTATTATGTTAGGATTATCATGGTGATGTATTAAGGAGGCTGGTATTGTAACGTTTTGAGGGATGTTTCCGATTGGAACTTGATTTTGATTTGAGGAATCTAAAGTGTTTTGATTAGAATTATTTACAACGATTGCAGCATGGAGTTGATCTTGATGATTTACCAAAATTGGATTAGATAAACTTTGATTTGAAGTGGCAATTTCGTTCAATTGATTTATTGTTAAAGTATTAGAAGTATTAGGCAATTGAGAGGTTGACGATGCGATTTGAGTTGTGGTGGTGGTTGTAGTATTAGTAGTGGTAAGGTTGGTATCAATAAAATGATAGAATCAGTCAAATTACTATATAAGTATACGCATGTTATTAACGTTAAAAAATTACATATATTCAAAAATAGTCAACGTATTTGTGTGACTGGGAAGGATGTACAAGAAACTTAAGACCGTTTACAAAAAGGCACAAGATGTGTAATCATTTAAGAACACATACAGGGGAAAGACCATACGCTTGCAATGTTAATGGTTGTGGCAAAAAATTCTCAAGGCCTGATTCTTTAACAACCCACAAAAAAACCCATTCAAACCATCGGCCATATGTTTGTCAACATAAAGGTTGTAGTAAAGCATATTATCACTCGAGATCTCTTCGTAAACATGAAAAATCTCATGAAACGCCACGCACATTACATCCTTTACCAACTCCTGTTCATCCTCGTACTGCCACTCCTCCAACTCAAAATAATGGTGGTCCTGTACATCTAAATTTTTCTTCACCAAATCAAATGTTTTCATTAGAATTTGAAATTAATTAATTAATTTAATTTTAACTTGATTGATTGGTGGTGTATATATGTATGTGTATATTTATACTTATATTAAAAAAAAAAAAGAACTATTAAACAAGATCGATTTTTTAACTAATAGTAAAATTTTTTATCATCTTAGACTTCATGTAAGATTTTTTTTTATTTTGTAAATTTCAAAAAAAAATTTATATTCTTTATATATTATATAACAAAAAAAAAAATAATAAATAAAAAAAAGTTATAATATTAGCAACAGCTTTTATTACATGGAGATCCCAAATAAAGACTAGATTCTCGTCTGTGATATGATAACCCATATGTTTGGCACGTAATATGCAATATCACATATTCAGATGTACGGGACACACATATGCCAAATTTACTAATCTCGTCATAACGAAGGATCTATTTTTTATGTTTAGTGCATTTTTTTTCGTATGTTTTCTACGCGCCTTCCTTCCATATTAAATCAATATTAATATTGCATTTTTCAATGCTAGTACTACTACTGAAAGTGTATTATTCCGTATTAGTGTTAGTGTTAGTATTAGTATTAGTATTAATATAAAAAACACGTTTTTCTAAATACATTTTCCACAAAAAATTTTTTGTAGGGCAAAACAGCTAAGATTATGTCAGAAATTGATGCATTAATCGAGAGCTTGATAAAGAA